CACCTTTGTTACTTCGCTATATAACGTTACACAGTATTATATGTCAAGTACTGCAAAGGGAATACTGGCCCTCTTTACTTACTCATTGCACATACAGAATAGATGGGGCGTTTATAAGGTTCAGATCGACATTATCAGTCAGATCTCCATCAGCTTGAAGCGTTCTTTGCATCCGTATGTATAGCTTTCAAGATGCGTTGAGGTAACAAAAGCTACTTTGATATTTTGATTTGATATTTTGGAATACGCTTCAAGCAGAGGTATATTCGGCTTCGGCTTATTTTTTAACGTGTTTTAGATGTTTCCATAGAGCTTTTTTTTGCACCAATAAAAAAAGGTAATATCATGTTTACGGCCGCTCAGCGGGTGGCCTCGGGTGGCAAATGGTAACTACCTGGCTAATTTGATACTGTCTTCACGTTGCCAAATATGGTACTATCTTTGTATCCACCTAAAGATCTGCTCGGAAATTAATTTCGGAACACCCTTAAGGCTATCACACAATAAAAGAGAGATTTATGGAGAGATGGTCTGGGGACAGGAAATGATTCTAAAGCATTTGTGCCGGAGGCTCTCCCAAATTAAAAGCACCTCGGGCGGTGATGTCTATATTGTACAGCTCCTGTGGTGGGCTTTAATTTCGCTCCTAAACAAGGGGGGGAAATTAAAACCATAAGTCACTGACTATCCGTATTTCATCAACACCGTAGTCGTTACCGTAATCTGTTTATCTCACACGTTCCAGGAATAGTTTAGGAGTGGCGTGTTTATGAGACGTCGTGAGTTTATGGATATTGAGTCTGGCGGGTGACAAACAGTTTGTCATGCGATTAAAGGAATTACAAAGTCCTGACCTTGAGTCTTTAATTTCCGGTTCTCTTTTCAGCCAAGCGTGTAAGAGGCGGACACCAATCTACCAAGACGTGTTTTTACCTTGAATTAAATCTATAGTAGTTTTATACGCAGTTTGTCAACTAAATACTTCAAGCATTTTATAATCCTTTCTAGTCCCTAATATATGTAGCAAATAACGAAAATAGCCAATTTCACGTGTAATTGCAGAGTAAAATGTATAGCTGAATATCTGGAAGGCAATACATACTGTTGTATAAGATATTGACGGTTTTGTAGAATCACCTATAAACGCCTGCAATTAATGCTTGCTGAATTTTATAGCCTCATAAAGCTGTCAAAAATTGGTATCAAGTGTGTTTCTGTGTTCATTTGTCGTCTTATCTCCGTAATTGTGTAGTCTTATACCGAACGAAATTATCCTTACATTAGTTATAACTTTCTTACCGTATACTTGTGTACCTCATTTAAATAATCCGTTCAGTTGAAAAGTTCATGACAAGTATTGCTATGCCAAATATGGGCCTGGCGTATCCAGAACACGGTATATCAAAACCGGAAATTCTACTGCAGTACCAAGAAAAGCTACCAGGGGGATCAAAATATAACTATTTCTCAGTGATTTCTCAGCCCTACTCATCTACCAAATATTATGTCAATCCATCCCTAGCTTCTTGAGATAAACCACATGCAAATACCCAAGCAAACATCCAAGCAAACAAACGCTACCAGAAACATAACCTGCTAGCTGAAGATAATAGGGACAAGTGAATAATAGATAAATTTATAGATCGCATTTCTGTTGATTTATCAATGAGGAGGCATCACCCAGTGTTTGAGCAAAATCTGGAAATAACACAATTTTTGAAAAGAATTTAAACTTCACTTCAAATGATACTTATTTGTAAAATTTGCACACAAAACTTATTATGACCACTAATGAATGTAGCGGTTGCCATGAACAATAACTTTCTTCTGTACGTTCCATGGGTTAAGTGTGTGCTGTGGCGTTTTGTATTGTATATTGGTAGGTAATCCATCATAAAGTTAGCACACTCTAAGTTTCCAATTAACCAGGTACTCAATGTTTTATGGGCAGTTTGGTTGGTAAACAATGCAGACCTCCTGTGGTTTTATAGTCCCGTTCTTTCGTCTATAATTGCACAGTCGTGTAACGTATCCAATTACTGTGGTCAGTGGTTGGTTCCTGTGAACATGTAATGTATTTTAAACACACCTCTGTTCTGTGTTTTATTCATTCCACGAATGTAAGGACAACCTTTTATAAAACGTAAGCATTGTCAAAACACAACAAGCAACGGACAGAGATATGTACTGCAATTTGATCTTCTCTGTTGTAATACCGTACAAGCATAATGTAATGTAATTAACTCCTACACTAACCAATACGAATTAGCGCTGTGTTAAAAATAGTTCAGTAGATATAGAATGTGGTTAGAAATAGTTTTCTTCTACTGTTTTATTTTACATATTTTTCTGAATTGAGGGTTCCCTATATCTGACGATTGGTTCTTGACGGATCCATGCTAGTCATTCCAAATTAGGAAAGATGAATCTGTGTTCTTGGATTTAAGCTCAGCCATCAAAATCCCCTTTATTACTTTCACAAAACCTCCGGGAAAAATGGCGTAAAGATTTGGATCCCCACACGGTCGTTTCGTCCTCAGAATTCATGTTGAAGCATCAACTTTCAATCCCAACGATTGGAAAATCAACGGTACTTTTTAAAGTAACGTTGATTTTCCAATCGTTGGGATTAAAAGCCTTCCCGGAGTACACAGTTGTACAGTTTGCACATGTCGTTTGCGCAGAGCCACCCCGTGAAGGTCGCCCGAGTAATGAGCGGAAAATTGGAATTTCATTCCGTTCCTGCGAGCTGCCAGCGTGTAGGGGACGGTTAATAGAGTTACTGAGTGAAATTACGGTCCGATCGGGCTTGTCCCCGGCGCTAGTGGAGATGTAGGGACTGGAATGTCGGATTAGCCAGTAAATTCCCGTGACCTGTCCTCTGTCTCAGTACGCTGCCTCTCACACAACCCTTGTAAGGCCACAGCATGTAAATGTTATGGATCTCTAATACAAATCTAATGCGATAGGGCGAAAAAAACAAGATTCCTACATTTCCAAATTTTGACATCATAAACCTTGTTAAACAAGAAATGATACCTATATTGTGCTAAGTTTACTGCCAACTATTACATCATCCGTTTCTCACTGAAACAAACTTGAAAAATAAAAGTTTTCAATCATTCTTCAAATGGTTTTGATTCATCACATATACACAGCCACCATCACATTTTAAGGAATGAAATACGTCACTGCATCAGAGTAAAAGACAAAACAATAAATCAGAGCCTTGTCTTGTCTCCTCTCTTCATATTTATCTGCCACCCACGTTCCGGCATGGCATTACACCATCTTTGCCCATTTTCGGCATGTTGACCACTGTCAGAGGGCAACAAAATTTCTTCTTTTTTTTCCAAAATCAGGTGAAAATTAATGCACGCTGATGTCATCCATGAAAATTATTTGCTGTGGCCTAACATGTAATCTCGCCGCTGTATGACGGTGTGACATCCCATCTCTGCTCCTGACCGCCCATTACCCCCTGTGTCAGCCTAAACGCAGTCAGCTATCATGTGATGACAACTCTTATTAACATAGGTCACTGATGTTGTGAACTAGGAACTCTCAGAAGCATGTTCATAGCAAGCATGAGGCCTGTCAAAGTCTGCTTTGCAAAACTAAACAGGGCACAAAATTAACCGCATCCAAGTTCGGCAGTTGCTATTCTTACATATTTAACCGTGTCACCAAAATAGACTTTATCAACACAGCTGTCCTTGTTTACGGTAGTACTTCTTTAGTTTCACTTTTAACCCATTTTTTGTAGAGGAAACTATAACTTAAATTTAGAGTGTCTATGTAGAATCTTGTATCTACAAAAGGTTACACTAGAAGGTCTCTCTCTGTTTTAATTTCTTTCTATGAGTTATTTTTGTGGTTTTCCTTGGCATTCTAGTGCGGTATTGCTTCAGTATCAACAGACAATCAGGCACATCATGACACACATAATCAAATGAGGCGAGGCATACTCAGAACCATTAATATAATATTGCAGGTTATTCAATGTCATGTTTACAATGTCTGTACACATCGGCTTCAACATACGTGTCTGGCATATTTGATAACATTGTGTTAAATTTTGCTCACATTTTTGTCTCTGACTCACGGCGCCAGTACATTATAGTCATTGTTTGGCTCCGTCTCAACTCTAAGGAGGCCTATGAAATTGTTTGGCACATATTTATGTGCTGATGTACCATATGGCGCCCATTCACTGTCGACAGTTTGAACTTTAAATGCACCACTTGAGCGGGTAGGTTCCCTCCGTAAAACAAAGTGTTCCCATATGTTGCGACAAATATATCTGTTACACGTCAATTTAGATCCGTACGCTTAATCTCTTTCGCTCTCTGCATGACGACTCGTGAAAGGTACATTTGTATTCACAACAGTACTCCGTATTTGCGTACTTTATTGCAGTACAGCACCCATTTTATGTAGGATTTTCCAGTTATACTGGTCCCCAGGCAAACACGCAAGAATATAATCGCGGGAAACGTCTTTGAATCAGAGCCTAAAGAAAAGCATTTTACTGTTGATATTCTTCATCGTTTCTTAGGGATGTGCCCTCTGGAGGAACATAGACTTTATGTTTACCTTCGCAGAAGGAAACCATTTAGTTGTGATCGGTTTCCTCTTCTTCTCCAAACATAAGGTCAATGACCTTGGCCTGATGGCTGTCACAAGTTGACAGGAGTTGGGAGTAGGAGGCACGCGAAAGAAAAACAACGATCGCGAAAAGCACGATCCTTATTTGTCCTTCCATGCCTAGCCCCCCCCAGTGCATGCCCCGGTGGCTGGCTTTTGCGTACATCCGCGCATTACTACGTCATTGTCCAGCGCACCAATGACGGCTCTAGTATTTAAAGCAACTCTTCTCATTGGTCAGCGTGTCTTTTATGAACAGCAATAATCAACAGGCTGTGGTTGTACCTGGTTGGACAAGGCCGCCCTCTTTTATATGAGAATATCTTACAGGTTATTTCTTGTAATCGGACGGCGTGGACTGTTGGGCGATCCTGGCATTTGCAGCGAGCGGAAAGCCCACATGTAACACGTCCCTACAAACCGGCGATCCGCACCCGTAGATCCGCCTGAGGTAAGTATCGACCAGGTCCTACGGACAGCTTGCCTTGCCGCTGGCCGGAGTATGGATTTATGAAACCGAACATTTCTGATATTTGGAAGTTTATTGATTTAACAATTCTACTCCGATAATTGGATGACGATGATTGAAGATAGAAGCAACTGTGGCCGGTGAGTTTTAAAAAATGCGGATGAAAACTTCAATCACAATTTGAATTTTTGCATTAACACTGACGCTAACCTAACTTCCCACAGGTAGGCAGACATCAGAACTGAAGATGGACGAAGCGCAGAATTCAAGCAACGGGTCCGACTTCGTGGACGGCGCGTGGAACGACACCGACGCGTGGAACGACACGGGCGCGGGGCGGTCGGCGCTGAAGCACGGCCTGGGCGTGACGGTGGTCCTGGTGCTGGGGTACGTGCTCGTCTTCGTCATGTGCGTGGCCGGGAACGTCCTGGTGTGCGGCATCATCGCCAAGAACCGCAACCTCCACACCGTCACCAACTCCTTCATCTTCAACCTGGCCCTGGCGGACCTGCTGGTGGCCCTCATCTGCATGCCCGTGACCCTGGTCTACACCATCATATACAGTAAGCCCCGTCTGAAATATACCCTTTCCTCCAACATAATTGCTCATGATCAGTAGGGTGTGATATGGATGCTTTTAACCTAGGGACTGCCTGTGTTTGCAGGGATTTTATGGTTAAATCTAATCTAGAAGGTTGCATTTGTCACGGGCGACCCTCCTCACACAAGGTAATTCCTTGCCGTATATTGAGCGGAGATGGGTTGCCTCTCAGCGGTATCTACGCACGAGCGACACGGCCCAGTACACACATTTTAGCGGGTGAGCAAAAAAAAACCTTAAAAGGTCATCTGGGTGGTAAATCTCGGCCTTTAACAAAACGCTCCAAACATACGTTGCGATCCGCAGTTGCTGGGCGCAAATTTGGCTGAACATTCTAGAAACGTCCTGCACAGACTGCTAGCGGCAGCATTCGAAAAGTTTTTTCGCCACTCGAAAATGATTGATATTGTCATTACTAGTCCTCTGTAATGCAGTTTTTTTATCATCCTTTTAGAGACATACTCTAAAATGTATGCATCCATGTATATATGTATGGGATGTACTACATGCAACACTATATCTTCAGTCTTCAAACTGGTAGGCCTTCCTACCTGTTATAAAACCGTCTATGTTGGTTACTTGAAGCAGTCAATACGCTTGTATCTCTATTGAGTTTTCCCGTATTCCGAATGTATATGGAATGATAATGAAAAAGCTATCTAACAATGTGAGCATGGCGCAGTCCCTCAATTGTTTAATGGGCCAATAAACGCAGCAGAGTGTCCTTTCATCCAACATGTACTCTGCGCTGTATAATGAAGTTTTGGTGAACAAAGGAAGAACGGAGAGAAAATTGCCTGCAGTCAGGCATGTGCTAACTAACGCAAATGGGCACTGTCGATTGCATATCGATTCACACAGGACTTTTTTTTTTAACATTAGCCCTACTCCTGTAGCTAAGTAATGTTAGCTTATCTGAAACATGGGGCAGGGGTTTTGTTAATTGAATTTCCCGATATAATGTAGCTTATTGCATGCAGCCCAGTATCCATCTTTCCCCACGATCCCTACCTGTATTAGCGTCTATGTATTGACTGCTTCCGGACAGATTACTCATGACAATAAATTCTGAACATCACCCCACCTGAGACTTCCCAGCGAGTAAATAAGAATTGATTGCTGAAAATTCGGATTGCTGATGTTTTATACGTTCATGGAAGTTTTACGGTCTTCCGCCGGGTCTCTGTGTATACATGTATTGTACTTTGTGTACCTCATTTTGTCTCACCGGTCCTTAGTCAAATCGCAGACGCCCGTAAAGTTTAGGATAGATCTCTATCAGTGCTCCTCCATTTAGGTCGTCCCGTAACTCATAACCTTCAATTCCCATTTACAACCTGTGCCGTGGTGTAGATTTCTTTCCTACAAACATATTTCCCAGTTGAATAGGAAGGATGGTACAGACTAGGAAACGACGCCTAGAGTGCCATTATCTATCTCGTGCCAAATGTCTTATGCATTCCAAATGGCCCCATGTCCATGGAGGGATTAAGCACATGAACGCACTTTTTAAGGTCTGAGAACATCTACCAAGGTGGTGTGTTACGCCGAAGGGCGGTTATACCGGCTGTACTGATACAGATACCCCCAAAATACAGAGACTAAACTGAAGCACCGCAAATACGGACTGTCTTCCTTGATATTTTTTTTTCAAAAACGCGTGAATAATGTTTCCTGCAATTTTCACTCGCGGCAATTAAAGACCATTGTAGACGGTAAGATAAATATATAACAGTTTGTTTCCCATGATCAAAAGGTACGTTAAACATCAACCAAAGCGTACATCCGTAGCGTGGTCGACGCTTCCGTGCAGGTAGGAAATAAAGCGTGCATCAAAGATTTTCCCGACAAATTAGATATATATACTGTCACGCTGGCAATTTCCAGATGGGAGAGCAATGTTCTTTAGGTGCAGCCTCCTGCCCAGACTATCTTGCGGCCTGCGTTTCTTTCTACTAGGGCGGAAAGAGCTAACCTGGGTGCCATCCTACGTAGTTTATAGAGATCCGGCAGAAAGCAAACTTTCTGGGCGGTCCAATACAGCTCCCCCTCCGATGCGGCCTTCCACCATGTACCGCTTTCCCCGAAAAGAAACCGCCGAGATCTATCCGCACTCATAGAAGCAAATTCTGACCGCTAAAAACTCTGTGCTGAAGGCTAACATAGTAGGCAAGCATTTGGAAAGGTACTGTAAGAGCGATATACTGAGCCTGCGAAGCTGTTTTTTCGCCCGAGGGCAGCTACATCTATGCCGCTTGAATAGAACACAACAGGGCAGCTCCCATGTGGCTCAAGAAATGGGAGAAAATGAAAATTCATTGATCTTAATTACGTTACCTGCACGCTACCTTGAGCGCAAAGGATAAGCCTTTAAAGTAGGAAACAAATAAGACGGGATATTCTACTCTTCCTGACGTTAACATATGGAAGGATAGAGGTATCCAATGAAATTTCAGAGCATTCTGATATTGACATTTACTGCCATTTCTTGCACATTTTCGACATCATTTCATACTTGAAGCGTTTCAAATATCCCAAAAATAAGCTACGAGAGGCGTCTCTTTATTTTTGGACACCACCAATAAATAGCTAGCTATAACCAGAAAATTGACTTTGAAGATCCAGTTTGCCGCCCTGACATTGTACTGAATGCCTTTAATTTATGACCAACGGAAAAAAAACTGAAGCTACCCCTGAAAACTAACAACTCCTGACACGAAGCTTCTGACGAAAATCAACTTTACAAGCCCTGAAACTGAAACCTGTCCAATTAAACAAACTTTTGTGCATCAAACTGTTATTTACCGCTTATAAAATTCAGCACACCAGACTGCTACATCAATCATTAGTAATAATTGGTTTTTCGCTGGAGCTGAGGAAACCTCTAATAGCGTTTGACACCAGGTCACCCTCGCTATTGGCCACTTACACAAGCATGCTCTATATTCAAGTGAGGGAGAAAATTAGTCTGACATAATTTCAACTCACCTTGAATGTAATTATAACTCACCTACGGCTGTGTTCAATGTTACGCTTTAGACTATCTTTAGATGCACAATGACCCATACTTAGAATGTTCATTTGCCATTTCGCCGATAGATCAGAGTATTGAAAGACCATCTGGAACATTCGGACGACATTTGCTCGAACCAAGTCACATGTTTTGCTTACTGCTAACTCAGAATTAGGTAATATAAATCAATAAACATTCCCTTTCCCCAAACCGTACGCCTTTGAAGAGATCTGCAAACAGTCCTCTTTAGACATTGTTTCTCTACCGCATTGTTCCCAGGACCACGAAAAAAAAGATAGAATACTTAATTATATTTTGCCGCCCAGGTTTTATTGGTTGTTGTAAACTCTTCAACTCTTCTCTAGCGCATGGTATAAAGTATATATATAACGTAACAGCTGGTGCGTCGACAGCATAAACCCACGCGGGCTGCTTTTAATCTCTTAATGTTTGCGTTATTAAGGGTGATATATCAATTACACGGCACGTCGTATTGTCAGTAAATGATGTCGTTATACGTCCGTCCGTCTGCAGTAAAGGTCACAGTGAGATTTCGTTCCACCGAGCTGTTTCTTTTCCAGACAAAAGCCGTTCATCATTTTTGGCCTTGGTAATTTCCGCCCGCCCAAATACGGTAAGACGATAGGGGACGAACGGGTCAACCCGGACATTGATCGGTACCATACCCCTGACTTAGCTTATAGGTTTCATGTCAAATAATCCGAGCTATTCGTTATTTTACTGCCGAGTCTGACAGAGAGTCAGTTACGACCTCTGTATACCCGTGTAGCCATGGCTCACAAAACGTGGCCGAACTTCTTTGATCTATATGATCCGGGATAAAAAGTCTGCCTCGTGAAACACATCTCATTTTCAAGTGTATGGAAATTGGTAGGATGTACAGTCTAATAAGGAACGGAGAACGGCGCCATAGATCAAAGGAAAGGGACAATGATGAAGGTGTGGCTCAAGTAATTATAAGAACCTGCGTGATCTCAACACAGACCTGGCTTTCACCGCCAAGTGCCTTTTAATTGTACTCATTCCGTCGGTATTGTCCTGAACATGAACTACTGGACTGTGGTATGAGTGTAGTATGTACCTACCTAGATAATAGATAAACAATAAGTCTTGGATGATGTTTTCGTATTAAATTGAGGTAATTGAGTTTATTGAAGCTACTACTTCCAGCTGCTTTCAGTGGCCTCACGGAAAGACTACAGCTCCTGCCATTAGCGGACGTCGTTGGACGATGTGGTTCAGAATCACACTCTGAAGTCTGACGTTCAGTGCCAGCTCATCTATCCTCGGAGTAGGTTAAAGAGTAAAACATCTTCCACCCATTGGTAACAGAAGCCTGCCTCATCATTGCCACCGCCGTTTGAAAAACACATCAATTTTCCCCACCGGTTGTGCTGCCTGTGCCTGCTGATGACCCCGTGAGTTACAATTTTCCACATCCGCAGCCAACTACGGCAGATGAATGTACGCCGATGGTATACTTTGCTACCTTTTAGCAGCGACTTTGGATACTTCAAATGTGGTCAGTCCACGAATCGAAGACCCTAGCGTTTGACACCGCACGTGACATTTTCTCCCTTGAAAGCTATCATCTTCCAAAGCTTCTTTCCCTTCTGAAGCCATCATCCCGACAAAGTATCCGCTTTGCTCAGTAATCTCAGAATGTATGTGTGGGTCCGGTGTAATGGGTAGGTGTGAGGCCTGGCACGACCATGATTGAAGAGGGGACCTTCACCTACACTTAACCTGTTGCTCTCGGAATAACACATCAATCTTTGCAACGACATGGGAATCAGTAAAGAGACGTAGTTGTGTCTTCCTCGCAAACAGTAAGATACTGCACTTAGGATGGACGCATTGGAGTTTATTCCGGTACGCTAGCTAGTCCTCAACAGATTCTGTTTCCAGACTGAATAGATAGTTCGGAA